AACTGCTTTCTATTTGAATATATTGTAAAATGTAATTTATTTCTGTGATCAAAGCTGAATTTTCAGCATCATTACTCCAGTCTTCAGTGTCACATGATCTTCAGAAATCATTCTAATATGCTGATTTGCTGCTCAAAATTTTTTTTATTATTATTATTATTATTTTGAAAACAGCTGAGTAGAATTTTTTCAGGTTTCTTTGATGAGTAGAAAATTCAGAACAGCATTAATCTGAAATATAAAAATGTATAAAATGTTAAATGTCTTTTGATCAATTTAAAGCATCCTTGCTAAATAAAAGTATTCATTTCTATAATTTATCCTCCCCAAAAAATTAAAAAAATACTGAATCCAAGCTTTTGAATGGTATAATGTTACAAAAGCTTTTTATTTCAGTTAAATGCTGATCTTTGGATCTTTCTATTCATCAAAGAATCCTGAAAAAAATGAACTCAATTGTTTTAAATATTAATAATAATAGTAATAAATGTTTCTTGAGCAGCAAATCAGCATATTAGAATGATTTCTCAAAATCTTACTGTTCAAAAAATGTTGACTAGTTGTGTATGTGTGATGTGTGTTCCTCTGTGTCAGCGCTCCATTCACGTGTGTGTGTGTGTGTTTGGACTGAAAAAGGTGGTACATGTGCTTGGTAAGCAATTTGACAATTTTGTAGTTAATATTTTAGGTGTATGCGTCAGAAAGCATGCTGTTAAGATACCAGCAGACAAGCTAATCCAGCACAAATTAGAGCATAAAAAGTCACCAAAATGAAGTATTTGAACCTTATGATTAATTACGAAATGAGAGGGGAAACTGCAGAAAGGCCCACTTTTGGGAAAAGGAAAAAAAATAAATAAAGGAACCCAGCCTTCCACTAGGCTGGCTAGGGGCCTGATGTGGGCCCACCCACTTAAATATTTCTGGCCTCACCCCTGATGTGAAGAAAAGATCAGACCAGAGAGGAAGACAACATAACGTCAAAAGAAAAGAACACTTATAAAAAGTGTTTCTTTATCAACTTCAAAGAAACATTTGCACATGCTTTCAGTCCATCAGACAGTCATACAGTATTTCTCTTTCTGAAGGACAGCGCGGACCAGATTGGGTGATGGACACGAGGTCTCTGCTGACACTGTCAGGTAAAAACCATGCAGTCTATAGCAGTGCTTCTCAAAGTCTGAAAGATCCGGATCCGGACCCGGAGGGAATTCAGTCCGGACCCGCCTCCATTTCGTATTTCAAGAACACTAATTTCCTACTTTGATAAACGCATGTTAAACTTGTAAATCATATGTTTAGTTTTTTAATGCCTTTTTTGAGATGGTTCGAAATGAAAGCGAAGGCGAGATATTGAAACGTTTCCTTCATGACAAGTGTTTTATTTTTTTAACACTTATTTATTCAACTTTCAGATGATGTATACATCTCAATTTCAAAAAATTGACCCTTATGACTGGTTTTGTGGTCCAGGGTCACATATTTGATTAGGCTACAGTTACTAATGTCAAAACAATTACGTTACTTAAGTTAACTTACAAGTGCAGTGTTAAGAAAAAAATATGAAGTAAAATGCATTTTTAAATCATGTTTTGCGTGTCAGTATGCCCTTTAATAAATCACCGGAGAATGCGAGTTAAAATGCAGACGAGTCGTACAACATTTAGATGCAATGAAAGGTTCCCTATCATATTTCAAAATGTTGCACTCGGTTTCACATATTTTAGTCTGGCATTATAGTTTGGGAAAAGTTGAACTAGTAAATGTGTACAAGTTTATGTCACAATTACACTAATATAAGCAGGACTCGAATTGAGGGGGGGATGCGGGGGGTAAAAAAGTACTGTACTTTACATACAGTAAAGGTATGATTTTTCCTTCATTAGAATTTAAAAACATTCCCCTGACATAATGTTATTGTGCTGTATGTGTAACTGTGAGGGACTGAGAGATGATAGGAGAGCTGACATTATCCAGTCATCGACTTTGCAAAAACCAAACAAAAACATGTCTTGAGAGTCCAAAAGCGTTCACTGCGCGATGAAGCCTATTAGAATACAGGTAAAAGAACCTTATAATTCAAGCAATTAAAGAAAATATACCCATGTATGAGTTTTTATGTTTTTATATTCATTTCACAAGCAATGTACTTTTCTGAATATCAGTAGAGCTACATGCGCGAGCACAAATGTGCTATTAATTTTATACAGCAGTGCATAGTAACACGGTGTTTCGTTCCTTGAACGAATCAGTTTTTGAACGAATCAAGTGAGCCAGTGATTGAACGGCCCATTCAGATGGACACTTTCCCTGCATCCAATGTGCATACTATTCAGCCTGTCTGCCCTAAATAGTGTTGAAAATTACTAATATCACATAGAATTTAGGATGGATGGTATGCACAGCCGTTTTGAACAAGTCGTTTGATTTGAACGATTCAAGAAATCATTTATCAAAACAAGGGCTTGCTGCCACCTACTGGTTTTATTGTCATCTTTATTTATCCATGACAGGCCTAAACCAGCCAAGGTTTCAGCACAAAAGCACGTTTAGCAAAATATTGTTTAATTATCAATATTGACCAAAATTCCTCCATTTCAGGCCCAAGAAGGGAAAAAAAGCTTATAAATAATAGTTCATTTAATAAGGCTAATTTTAATTTATTTTTAATCATTAAATAAAAACCTTTTTAAAAATTAGACAACTTTTGTAATCATTATATAAAATTAGCTACAGGAATGATCTCATCCGCAGGTTGTAATTGTACATTTGTAATTTGGACAAGTTTGTAGTGGATTACTTTTTTTTTGAGTAATTCAGCCAACACTGGTCACTAATTTATTGCATTTGGTTACTGGCCTACAAATAGTGTAGATTTACACTCTTCAGAGCCCGAAAACCTGTTTATTTCTATGGTCAATGGGGATAAAAACCCAGGTTTTCAATGTGGTCTCAGAATTGCAGCAGGTCAGTAAATCTCTGTCTTTGTTTTGGTCATGTTTTAAAGGGGTCATATGATGCGATTTCATTTTTTCCTTTCTCTTTAGAGTGTTACAAGCTCTTGGTGCATAAAGAAGATCTGTAAAGTTGCAAAGACTAAAGTCTCAAATGCATCCAGAACTGACTTGGTGTGTTTGTCTCATTCCAATAAATCTGCACATTTAAGACTTTTTTAAGGGGTTAAAGGTTAAAACTGCATCTTATCAGAAGATTTGTAATTTGCTTTTAACAAATAATTATTTTTATGTCACAGTGTTGTTCGTTCTCATAAGGGGGAACAAGGGACAGAAACCAGAGGGTAAATACATAAACATGTTTTATGACACACTTTTCTATGAACCACAACATATGGTAAAATTCAGTGCCTAAAGATGTTTTCTGCCTGATCCTCAAAACAACAAAAGATTTAATATCATACAGTATCAAATCTATTCTGAGCACAGAGTTGAGCAAATTCAAGTGCAGATCTTTAATAACTAATAATACGTGTAGATCTAGTGACAAAGACATCATAACACAACAAGCATCCTGATGTTTCTAGCGTAGTCATGAAAAGTATTAATTTATGTATTTGTTCATTTAATGCATAAATGCATGCATGTACAAATGTAGGCTGGCATGCATGCAGGAATGTATAAATGCATGCATGAATGAATGAATGAACAAATTAACCTTTTAATTATCCATTCCAGGAAGTGAATGTTCTTTTTTTGCAGAGTAGACAGCACTAAATCACTGTGTTCAATTGTTGCCAATCAATCATATTTCATAATAGTAGAGAAGTCAGACAACCTGCCATTATAGAAGATTTGTGTCTTATATGTCTGTTTTCTTTCTCTCAGTGTCTCACCTGCCGAAGTTCCCACAGGTGTATGTTGGAGATGACGTCACTCTGATCTGTAACCATAAAGGAGGGAGTAAACCAACAAAATGGTTTATTAATAAAACACCACAACAAACACACGAGGATTATTCAATGCTTCTTATTGCAGTAACACCAGAAAACAACGGGAAGTATGAATGTGAGCAGGCCGGATCGAAGAGTGAGCCGTACACACTCACTGTACTGGGTATGAACACCATCCTAAACGTTCATGATCATCTGTTCCTCCTGCTGTTTCTCATGATTTCTCTCTCTCTCTCTCTCAGAGCTGGAGCCTCTCGCTCAGCTCTCTCCATCTGTAGGAGGTGCTGTGATGACCAAAGGAGATGGAAGAAACCTGGTGCTGCAGGCGGACGATGATCTGAAGGGCTGGGCTTGTTTTGTGTTGAGGGGAGTGAGCACCTTCAGTCTAGGACTCGATGTTGATGAGAAGATGAACAGAGCTGTTATATTTGCAGAATTAAAGGAGGCAGAAAGAGCCACTTTCTGGTGCAAGAAAAAGAAAATAGATCTTCGAAGCAATGCAGTGACGCTGAAAATGACAGGTGACTCCTTACTCCACTTCCTGTTGTATTTCAGATCACATGTGTGTAGTTAAAGGGAGAGCAAACACAAGTCACTGTCACTTTAAACCTGTATGAAACGAAATAAGGTATTTTGAAAAACAGCTTGACTGTTTTTGTCCATACAATGAAAGTCAAAACAATGCAGTGGGGTCCAAAGCAACACTGGAGCCCACTGAAAAAAAAAAAAACATGCCTTCTGTTGCATTTGTAGTCCACTTCTAATTGCATTATGCAGACTGCTATCCTTCATAAGTTATGTCAGTTAGTTCCCATCAGTCTGACACGCTCTTATAATTCATTTAACATCTAAACTTGACAATCACATGAATCCAAATTTCACAATAACTGAATTTGAAAGAAATGGTCTATTAAATAATCATCTGAATCATACTGTACCCCCCCATTTTTATTGAAATAAATTGAATATTTATTTTAAAGGGGTTATGAACTGAGAAACCAAAATTCCCTTGATCGTTTGACATAAAAGAGGTCATTGTACTTTATTGTCATTGTACTGTAAGTTTCAGAACTCAAAACTTTCTCATTAGTGTAAAACAGCTTATATTGAAGCCAGTCTGCCAAAACCACAGGATGTGGAATGTGCCACTCTATGATATACAGTAATAGTGTGGCTAAACTCCATGTAACACCAACAGTAACACCATGATTTGCTACTTGGTTGCATTTGGCTTTAAGAGGAGGGATGTTCTAATTCTAGAGAGCATTTGATTGGACAAAAATTTGGATACGCCTGTGAGTACAACATGATGTCATCAATATTTTGGTCTGTTTTCCCAGAAGGAAACAAAGTGTCAATTTTAAAATAAATTTAATCTGCTAAACGTTTAGATGAAGGTTTCTTTCAGCAGCATGTGCAGTCTGACCTGTGTTTGGTCTCTGTTTCTCAGAGCTCATGGTGATGTTGGTTCCTCCGGCCGTTCCTGCGCTGCAGGGGGAGCCTGTGGCTCTCAGGTGTGTAGTCTGGGGTGGACCGAAGCTGGAACAGGCCGTCTTCTATAAGAATAAAACAGAAATCAAGAGCTCATCTGAAGGAACATACATCATCACCAACGCCACACAAAGTGATAACGGCAAGTACAGCTGCCACGCCACCTACAGGTACAGCCACATCAGTGCAGAAGCAGCACAGAAGCAAGGAGATTCTGATGCTCAGGAGTTAAAAGTTATAGGTAAACACAACAACAGCTGCATTACCTCACACTTTCATTAATACAGAAGCACTAATACTGCATGTACTAACAAAAAAAGTACCTGAAAATATTTTTTGGACATGGTACCATGGTGTTCTTTAACATACGTAAGAATATCATGCAGTACTATGTGTAACAATAGAAATAATGTTAATAATAATAATAATAAATGAATCATAAAAAATTCTGATAATAATATTTTACATTTTAAGTAAATTAAAGTAAGTAATCTAAAATTAAATTAAAAAAGCAATTCTTACAACCATCACATCTTTCTCTTTCATTGTTTTCACTGGCTGCACCCAAAAACAAGTATTCCGCACGACCAGCATGATCCAGTTCATGAACAAATGATTCTTATGAGTCAGTACTTTTAATGAATCAGTTATTGGTTTAAATCAGTCTAACTAATTACTCACTAAATCTGTCAGAACGGATACATTTAAGCATATTTAACCCATGATCTTAACTGGTGGCACATGGTGCTGACAATGCTAAGGTACAAAAACAGAATTAACTGAATTAACATAATTGACGCTCATATTACTAGTACTTAAAGATACACATTCACAAAAACATCTGATTGTAATTGTGTAATAAATAAAAACATTTGTAACAATTGTAAAAATCACAGCCTCTCTTGATTTATTGCTTTAATAAAGGGGGGGAAAAATAATTAGTTTTTTTATTTGTATTATTCTGCCTAATTTGGACCAGTTACAATCCAGTATAAAACAAAGGTACTATGTAAATAGCACTGTATATGAATACTATATTCTGAAATCATCAGTGCGCCACAGTCATTTTTTTAAAGTCTTTATTTCTGTGTTGTACAGGTGGACCTCCTGCTGCAGTGATTTCAGTGTCTACTAACAGTCTGCGGTGTTCCTGTCCTCACTGTCCTGCCAGCTGCACGTCCTACCACTGGTATCACACACTCTTTAATGACCCATACACACGCAGAAAACTAACTGAAAACGACGAGTTTATTACTGTACAAGATGAAGGACTGTACAGCTGCCGGATGGACTGCGGGAAAGGTTTCTCCCGTTTCAGCAACGACTACAGCTACGCAGGTGCTCATACTCTTTCAGGTTGACTGCAATGATGTATAAATGCACTAACTGTCACATTCAGTTTTCGATTCACATGTCATTCATTTTTATCATAAAATCTTTCTCTCAGCACAACCAGTGGAGTTCGGACGCATGTGGTACATACTGGTCGCAGCACTGATTTTGTTTGTGATCATCATCGTGCTGATCGTTGTGCTGAAGTACAGAAGATGTGGAAGAATGGATATACAAGCACCTGGACGGGATGCAGATCAAGACAGGATGATGAGTGTACACTATGTACATTAAACAGGCGAGCAAAGAGAAAGAATGAGGGATCCTTGAAGAAAAAGAACCACATTAATGTTAACTAATAGTCAAATGGCTTTTTATTAATCTAAGGTAATGGAGTTTTCTATAACTTTGCCAATAGTTAACAGTAGTTTAACACCAGTTATGATTAATGCAATAGAGGTTACAGCATAATGATCAATGTGAGAAAGAAGCATCACCATTGGGATTTGTGAAAATGCTTTAAAGGAAAGTGAAGTGACATGTGGCCAAGTATGGTGACCCATACTCGGAATTAGTGCTCTGCATTTAACCCATCCAAGTGCACACACACAGTAGTGAACACACACACACCGTGAACACACACCCGGAGCAGTGGGGCCATATTGCTGCGGCACCCGGGGAGCAGTTGGGGGTTTGGTGCCTTGCTCAAGGGTCTCACCTCAGTCGTGGTGATGATCATTGAGGGTGGAAGAGAGCGCTGGTCATTCACTCCCCCCACCGACAATTCCTGTCGGACCTGAGACTTGAACCAGCAACCTTCGGGTTACAAGTCCGACTCTCCTAACCATTAGGCCAGGACTGCCCCCAATAGTTCACCTAATGAAAATGTGCTCACCCTCAGGCCATCCCAGATGTAGATGAGTTTGTTTCTTCATCAAATTTGGAGAAATTTAGCATTGCACCACTTGCTCACCAATGGATGCTCTGCAGTGAATGGGTGCCGTCAGAATGAGAGTCCAAACAGCTGATAAAAACATCACAAGTAATCCACACCACTCCAGTCCATCAGTTAACATCTTGTGAAGCCAAAAGCTGCGTGTTTGTAAGAAACAAATCCATCATTAGTTTTTTTAATTCGCTTTTGGTACTATTTTCACAAGCAACTGTTACATTTTCAAAACTCTTAGTACTAATATCACAATAGATCATCAAAAGTGCACTTTTTTCAAACATTTCAGCATATTTTATCTTGTACAATACACACAATCACAAAGTAGTGTTTAAGTGTTTCGTCTATTAAATGTTTCATTCACTGTAACAGCCTTTCATAAAGCTCTTACTATTAAATTTTTCATTTGCATGTCTTCTCATTCAGTTTACAGTTTTTTACGATTGCTTACACACTAAAATTAAACTTTTCCAACAATTAGCAAAACCTTACACTCAAGGAGCAAAACACAAGGCTAGATTTACACAACTGTAAGCACATTGTCAGCTTCACACTGTTTGCAAAACATTACACAGTAGATATAGTTTCTAAAGAACTTGTTTGCAATTTACAGATAATCAAATGCACTGAATTATTTTTACACTATAAGTGATTTATCTTAGATGATAACCACTATTTTGTAAGTGTGTGTGTGTGTTCAGGGAAACCTTATGTTATGGGGACAAAAATGTCCCCACAAAGATGGCAATATCTGAAATCCTTGTCCTTGCGGGAGACTTTTTTTGAGGGTGGGGGGGGGATTTTGGGGACAAATTGTAACCCATAAGTGAGCAAAACCTGACAAAATCACCAAACATACAGCAGAATACAAGGGAGAGGAACTGATATGAGATGTATCTGAAGAAGGGAGACAGATGACATCAAATACAGCATTTTACATTACATTATGCCATATGATATTGTATGTAGAGGTGTATACCATGGTAGAGACTGCACATTACTATAACTCAACTTTCATCTGAAAAGTTCAGCTACAGTAAGTCATATGGCACAGTGAGGACATTTACTGCATTGACAGAACTCTGTTCTAGCGCAAAACCTTATGGCCATGTCATTCCTTCATCACACCTTTTGATAACACACTGGATAAATACTTTTACAAACATTATGGATTTTATGTGGGTTATGCAAGTTAGGTAATGTAAGAGTATTTTCTAACATGACAAATATTGCCTGTATTCTGCAAAAAGAAAAAAAAAGTGATTTGAAACACGTTTCTTGCATTGTTTGCTCTTGAATGAACTGATTGCTAAAAGTACTAAATTGAAAGAAGATCACAATGTTGTGTTTCGGTGATTAAATCAAATGTTCTCAATATATATTACAATAATCTTATGTTTTTTTTAAACAATGATTGTGTGGATGAAAATATGTGTAATTGTAATGAAAGCATGAGATCAGTTTGGATTTTTGTACAAAAAGTTTTGAAAATATACACCTTACTTTTGAAAAAAGTATCAACGCGAATTAAAAAACAAACAAACTGCAAGACGCTTTTAACTTCAAACTGTTGTTTCCAGCTAAAATACCAGTCCATAATCCATAATAACACCTCCAGTGAAAAAAGTCTCGCACATCAAAATTCACAAACATATTTGTTTAGAGCTGTTTTGGCTTGTAAACGGTGCTTGATCTGTGCAGATTTCTCTCCTGATTCAGACCAGACCACTTTTACACTGGAGAATGCAATATAATGGATAGAGGACTCCTATTTAACCGGAAGCGATGGTTTGATGTTAAAATGATCTCATTCTTTCATCATGTTTACTTTCAGATCTTAATTCTACTTTTAAGAACTTGTCCTGACTATAACAAGCAATGCATTTTCAGCTTTCAATGGATTTTCAGTTTAATTGAGGATGAATATCAAATTCAGTCTTTTTCCACTAAAGGTCAAACTTGTGCCCATCATCAAACCCAGTCCTGCCGAGGTTCACCACCAGAGGTCACCGCAGGATTGATTTGATTTCCTGAGTGTTGAAATTAAAGCAGCACTATGTAACTTTTGGCGCTCTAGCGGTTAATAAACAGAACTGCACACATCCCGCGGAAGAACATTCTAACCGGAGCTACTTCTCTAAGTTTATGTCTATGGCGATTCACGCAGTTTTGAACACAGAAAACGTGACATAGTGCTGCTTTAAATAGTGTGTAAATTAGGCCATGGTCTGTTTTCTTTGGTGTAACATGATACGGATTCAATGGCGTCGATACTTTTAGTTTGACCATCATTTATGGATCACAGAAACAGATACTAACTGCACAATAATACAGTAGAAATTATGAATGTAGATCACAAATTTAGCTTAAGAACTCTAAAAATACCTACTGTAAATATATGTATTAAAATGCATTCATTTTATTTAAATTATTTGGTATAAATGGATAATGTGTAAACAAATAAACACACAGGTAGAAATACATTTATATTATTAATAATGGTAAAACATTAGTTTTAGTATGCTGTAGATTGAAAACAGGAGTTTGACCTTATCTCTCAGTGTTTGCAGAACTGCAGCAACGGTAGTAATAATCACAAGAATGAAGGTTAATCATGTAATCTTCGCTTTATCACAAGTTTTTTTTTTTTATACATTCACATTTCACAACATAGAACAAATACGTAGGAAACAAACCCCAAGAAAGAAAAAGACACAAACGCAGTGATGTGATACAAACATGTCCTCATCATAAGTGAATCACCTTATCTTAATTATTCAGAGAGATAACCACAGAAATATCACTTCATTCCTGTGGGATCTGCTTCTTGACTGATATTAAAGGAACTGTTCACCCAAAAATGTCAATTCTGTCATCATTTCCTCGCTCTCATGTCGATCCAATTTTTGTTAAATTCATTTATGCTGATTTAAATTTTTTTTAAATCATGACAGGATGACAAAAATGACAAAAAATGTCCTGATGCAAGAAAATTCTTTATAATTAAAATAATACATATTAAATTAATATATTTTAATATATTAGAATTAGATATTAATATATTAAAACAATTAAAAATCTAATTTAAAATATTAATTATACAATATTTTTATTTTTAGAAAATCTATTACAGTGACATGCGAATGTTTGGGAACCCCTTGCAGAATCTGTGAAAAAGTGAATAATTTTAACAAAACAAGAGAGATCATACAAAATGCATGTTATTTTTTATTTAGTACTGTCCTGAGTAAGATATTTTACATAAAAGATATTTACATATAGTCCACAAGACAAAAAAATTGCTGAAATTATAAAAATAACCCCCTTCAAAAGTTTGCGAAACACAATGCATTAAGAGAATTTGAAGATCAAGGTCAATTGTACTTAATTTGTCTTCCAGGAAACATGCAAGTACCTTCTGTTGCTTCCGAAGGGCAGTACTAAATGGGAAAAAAATTATATTTCAGTTTCAGATTATTTTTGGTTAATTACGGGGTGAGAAATGACATTTTGTCATGAGATTCACCCTCATGCAAAGTGCCACAGATTCTTACACAGAATACATAAAGTCATAAAGGATTGTGAGGGTGAGAAAATGATGCCAAAATGTTCATTTTCGTGTGAACTACCTCTTTAAGATGCTGATGTGTGCGAGTACATGAGAGCGTATTGAAAATGTCCCGTGCCATGCTGGAGAGAGAGAACGTGCTGATATAACATCCAACTTTAATTTGAGTTCAACTGTGTTATTTCTGTGACTCATCTCATCTTCTCAACTACCATTTTATGGTTCTGTTTTCATCTATATGTGAGATTAAACAGCTAAACGGTGAAACAAACACAAGCGTTTCTACTAGTGCATCTTTCAATATCATGATGTTGTTCACGTTGAGTAAAAGCTCTTGACGCAAAACAGTCAGCACTTGGCATCGTTTTTGTCGGGCTTGAAACAAAAAATAAAGGCTGAACATGATGTTTTAATTAAACAAATTAGAAATTAAAGAAATGTTTCAGCTTCAATAAAAATTAAGCTCTATTGCCAGCATTTGTGGGATAACGTTGATTGCCACAGAAAATAATTTAGTCACTAAACAAAGAAGAAAAATGCAGTTAAACAGAGGAAAAAACTATTTTCTGTGCCACAAACACTCTTGATAGAGATGAACTTTCATTGAACGCTGAATATTCTTTCAGTAGAATAAATGAATACAACTTTACTATGTGGTTATGGATTAAATACATAAAAAATATAAATAAAAGATCAAAAAATGAATGGTTAAAGAGAATTCGCTATCAAAAACTAAGTATGTCAATGCTTCTATAAGCTCATCCAAATAGTTGATATTGCTAGTCTTTAAATGTGTATGTATCTAGGAGATTCTCACTGAAAAGGGACCAATACTACACACACCTCACAGTATTGGCACATGAGATCAATTCCCTAAATCTGGTTTTGTTTTTTCACTGAAATGATACTTTAGTTGTTCTACAAAAGAGGATTTCATTTGTAAGAACCACCTTTTACAATTTTCTCACAATTTAGGCAGAATATTTCGTAAGAGTAATAAATCTGAACTCTTGATGATCAGTTTAATTGCTGAAATACACGACCAGGGAGTCAAACGTTTGGACACAAGGACT